TGGAATCACATTATGAGGCTCAACCTTTTCACGAATTACAACTATATAAGCACTCACGTCGTTCAAATATAATCCAACTCGACCGAAACAGTCTTTATACTCTTATATCAGTAGAGTATATTTACATCAGAATCGCGAATGAACGACGAGACAAGTCGGGAAGTCTCCGCCGTAACAAAGAAGCGCGCATATGTAAACGGGGATAAAACGGAACAATCTATACTTTTTTATCTCGAATAGCCAGCACAAAATCAATTCCTTTTGTCACACACATTCAACTTCTCCAAGAGCAGGAGTTGTTGATGCATTCCCATCTTCTGAATGGGGAATCAAGGACTCGAAAAGATAGTCGTTCACGCGCGAGAGAAAATGGATGATCAACCGATCGGCAACCTTCGACCCGTTACACTGCAAACACTTGGTAATCCACGCAGCGGACACAAGCAGCACAGAATGAAGAAACAATGACAGGTAAAAAACGGGTAGGCAGAAAAGGAACTCCAACCACAAAAAAACAGGAAAATATACACATACACAAACACAATGTACACAAAAGTTCACGTCAATCCGCGAAGCTTCGTACAGTATTGAGTACAAAAGAGGACGAAGAAACGGAACGCGCGCGGCGCAGGGGGGGAGGCGAACCAAAGGTAATTCCCTGTTGCGTCCGGGTGGGCGAAACGTGAGTCGTGTTCTGCCAGCACCCAGTTGTGTATTCTCGCATTCATGACTCAAAAGCTCATGCCCACCACTCCTTGAAAACAAAATGAAATAAATAAAGTAGAAGAAAAAAACCAGAGCTTCCAGAAACCCTAAATAATCCCTCTATACTCCTGTGTGTGTTCTACCCCACCTGGAGTTTTCATCTCATGCCCACATGAAGGATAACTATACTTTACTGCTGTGTATAATCCCTAGTTAAATTAATTAAAAATGGAATATGCACAAGACTATACCGTACTTTTGCGTGACTTGGGAAAATACTTTAATGTGACTCGGACGTGCGACTTTATTCAAAATGCTCCCACCCCTCCAGAAAAATATTCAACACCCCCACACACCAAAATTTCTGCCTCAAATTTTCAGAAAAAAAAAATGTGCGCCTGCGTAGCCTAAATATAGACTGCAGCAGTAGAGAATGAGATACACTTTGGTTTATACAAAGAAAACACACATAGACATTGAGAACATATTTTAGAGCAAAAAAAAAGGTGCTCAAAGATTGTGACTACCTTAAACCCTATTTATTGTATATAGAGGCACAGATAAAGAAGAAAATAAACTTTAAAAGGTAGACTTTCCTATATCTGAGGCTAGTAAATCAAAACATTTGCCATAACTTGAATACAGTATTTAAAAAATGCAGTTCTTCTGGGGCATTACAGTTGAACCTTGATTAATCAAACCTTACTAAGGCAAATACCTCCCTAACTCAATTTTTTTTTCAAGTCCCAGTCTGTATTCCCTTAGAAACAATGCTTTAAAAGCCTCCCTAACCCTAAATCTTATTCTCTCAAACCTCTGTAAATCAAATTTTTTGAGGCCTTTTGATTATTTTTTTCTTTGAAATTTAAAAAAGAAAATCAATAAAACAAATAATTTTATGCGTCTTAAAATGAGTGAAAGACTAATTAAACTATTGAACCCCTGCCTCCTAGTTCAGCAAGCTGTAAACTCAGTAAGACAAACTTTTAGGCCCAGAATATCCTTATTTACAATTTTCCACAATTTTTCACTTTTCTTTGCAACATTTGTTCTTTGTTTCCTTAACTCAAAACCTCCAAAAAACAAAACCACCCTAAGTCAAAACCTCATAAGTTTAATTTTTTCCCTGGTCCCTAGAAATTTGTCTTCGAGAGATTCAACTTTATAATGATGATGAATAACTTGAACGGCATTTAATTACCCAAATAAGATTCTGTATTTATTTTGCTCACATTAGAGTAACATTTAGTGCATGGTAAAAGAAAAAATATTAGAATTTTAATGGCCAATAATTTGACTGTTTAAAGGAATCAACAGAAATATAGTACTGTACAGTATACAGTACTACACAGATAAAGAAGAAAATAAACTTTAAAAGGTAGACTTTCCTATATCTGAGGCTAGTAAATCAAAACATTTGCCATAACTTGAATACAGTATTTAAAAAATGCAGTTCTTCTGGGGCATTACAGTTAAACCTTGATTAATCAAACCTTACTAAGGCAAATACCTCCCTAACTCAATTTTTTTTCAAGTCCCAGTCTGTATTCCCTTAGAAACAATGCTTTAAAAGCCTCCCTAACCCTAAATCTTATTCTCTCAAACCTCTGTAAATCAAATTTTCTGAGGCCTTTTGATTATTTTTTTCCTTGAAATTTAAAAAAGAAAATCAATAAAACAAATAATTGTATGCGTCTTAAAATGAAGTGAAAGACTAATTAAACTATTGAACCCCTGCCTCCTAGTTCAGCAAGCTGTAAACTCAGTAAGACAAACTTTTAGGCCCAGAATATCCTTATTTACAATTTTCCACAATTTTTCACTTTCTTTGCAACATTTGTTCTTTGTTTCCTTAACTCAAAACCTCCAAAAAAACAAAACCACCCTAACTCAAAACCTCATAAGTTTAATTTTTCCCTGGTCCCTAGAAATTTGTCTTAGAGAGATTCAACTTTATAATGATGATGAATAACTTGAACGGCATTTAATTACCCAAATAAGATTCTGTAATTATTTTGCTCACATTAGAGTAACATTTAGTGCATGGTAAAAGAAAAAATATTAGAATTTTAATGGCCAATAATTTGACTGTTTAAAGGAATCAACAGAAATATAGTACTGTACAGTATACAGTACTGCAGATTCCTGAATTCCGGGTTCCTTTTCTCTATACTGGAAAAAAGTTAGCCCTACCAGCACTACCCCTACTAAAAATTTGCAATACCACTATACCCCTACTGCAAAATTTTTTTGCACTACCACTAAACTATGTCCAAAGAAAAATTTCACTATCCATACTGCCAGGAAAAAAGGGGTGGGGAACTTTAGAGTTTCTTCCATTATTTTGTAAATAAAGTTGATTTCAACCAAAACCATTTTCTAAAATAAACTCTTGTTAAGTAAAAACCCTGGCCACAACCCAGCTGATTGACTGCGTATTTATTGTTCAGTTGAACCTCTCTAAGTCAAATTTCAAGGGACCACCAAAAATTGGATTCAGGGAGGTTTTGAATAATTGAAGTTTGATTAACAGAACTATATAACTAATTGTTATAGGAAACATAGAAGAATTGCAAACAATTGTAAATGGTGACATTCTGGGAATTAAATGCAACTAAATGAGTTGAGAGGATGCTGAACTTGGAGGCAAGGGCTACATTTTCCCAATTTGGTCTTTCTGTTCCCTTGAAAACACATGAGAATCTGTTTTTATTGCTTCTTTTGTCTTTCCTGTGTCAAGACAAAATTACCAAAAAGCCTACAAAAACAAGCTAAGGAGGTTTGAGAGGAAAAAGCTTCAATTTAAGGATGTTTTAAATACAAAGTTCCTGCTGGGCGAATTCAAAGGGGACTTTGAAAAAATTTGACTTAGGGAGGTATTTGACTTAGGGAGGTTAAAGTTATCCAGGTTCAACTTCATCATATAAATTATCCACACCTACCACTGCCAATAATGGGATAGCAAATCCCAAGAATGTGAACAAAAATCATAAAAATATATTCATGTGATTGATGCTATAATTTCTTGAACATTGAATGTGATGCGAAATCTAGTTTTTTTTAGACTGATACAAGGGATATTTAAAAATATGACACAAAAACAAAAATAATTATTCTAATGAAAATGTCTGTACTGTATCTAATAAAAATCTAAGAGCTGGAATACTTTTTCTGACTTTTTTCGGAGTGGGATTTTTTTTTTTTGGAGTGGGATTTTTTTTTTTGGAGTGGGATACTCCATCCCCCTTTCACTGGCTTCTTATTGTCATCCTACTGCTGGAGCATCACATATCACACTTTCATTGCTGGAGTATCATACAATTCTTTGAAAGATGGGATAACAAAAAAATGTAATATCTCATGTAATATCCCCATTTTGTGAAAAAAGCTTCCAAAGAATTGTGGGTGGTCCTGTGGAAGAAGTTTCAGACTTGGAAGATGAGAAAAATTAGAAACAAATTTCCTGATTTTAAGAAGAAAATAAATTTTCCTTCTGCAAACAATTGGTTGAAGGGGTATTTGATGCCACATAGGGATGGAAAGAAACCACAAAAACAGGGGATGTATCCTCCTCAGTTCGAGAAACAATTACTCCTTCCAGTTCAAAAAAATGAAAATAAAAGCAATAAATAAAGAGAAGACCTGCTTTCTTCCCTAAAATAATCCAAATGGAAAGCAGCAGTATCATTTTCCAAAATTTTCAAGCTTTAAAAATTTAGTATCTCTAGCTTTTCTATAAAAACACCAAAATTATGCCCATTTTTGCAGAATACAATGGAAAATATCCAACAGTTGGAAGAATGCCCAGTGGATGGTAAATATTTTTAAACATTTTTGAAACCACCACCAAAATTGGCGCTACCACAGAGCCCAAAAATGTAAATGCTTTTCTTGCCACTATCAAGAAAAATTCTTCCCACCACCACTATACAGGTACCACTACAACAATTCTTTTACAATGCACTATACTACCATCAGTATAAAGAATAGCTTAAGAATTAACGAAGAAGCAGAGGCATTTGCCATAATATGCGCATATATATATGCTAGAAAAAAAACTGACAGATGCACAAAATTAGCCTTTTTGTGATTATGAATTTTAAAATTAACTTCTATTGGAAATGTATTGGAAAATAAAATGGCTCAATTTCTTCAAGAAAGAGTGAAAATGTAGAAAAAAAAAGTCAAAATGTGCTCAGAAACATTTGGTCATGCAGTGCCCGTATGTCGACATATTGTCCAGATGTTGGGTCAGATTTTTTAAGGTTTCAAGTGTCCCGAGTTGAATCGTCCGTATGTCGGGGCATGAGGGCGTCCTCATTTGGGATCTCACTGTAGTACTGTACAATCAATGCGTCGCGCAGCTTGTGGCAAATTTCCAACTAACGCCCCCTATAGTGGTTCCGTCGTCAACTAGCACCTCCTTGATGGGGTAGGGTCTTATTGTGTAATCCACCACTCTTGATGTTTGAAGCCACTCTTTCCTCATAGATGTCCTTCAGCTGCAGTGCTTCGGCGGTCAAATGTTTGGGCGGCAAACAAAGCATTCTTGGAAGCGGCCATGCCTAACTTGGAAAGTGAGAGTGCTTCGTTTCGGACTCCTAAACAGGTGTTGAACGCTCAAATGGTGCACCTGCGCGGTAGGGAGAAAAATCTTGTTCAAGTGGGTTTTGAAATCGTAGGAAGTGCTGGGAGTGTCTTCAGTACGTTGGAGTTGTAACGATTGTCTATTCGTATGTTACAGGCAGAAATATTGTCAATCAGTGCGAGGTGATCGAAAGTGCGCGGTTGCGTCCCATGCTGAAAAGTAAGTCTCCGAAACTAAGTCATCAAGAAATGTACAATTGAATTCTAATCGTCACTTCCCGGCAAATTTTTCCTCACCAGTGAACCGGTGCCTGAATTCGTGCTTCCTTCTCGCAGCTCTGGTGAGTGAAAATGTATTTCGTGACGGAATGATTTTCATATGCATGTTTTTTTTTCTTCATAGTTTGGAGTGGTATTTGGTGGTGACATGATGAGGAAAAGCATTGTGTTCAGTGAAGAGACACCAGATGTCTTCTACTGCCCACAAGAAAAGCCCACGACCGTCGACAATATGTTCGTGAAGGCACGACCATTGGACAAATTGTGCGAGTTCCATGGGAAGAGACTTCCAAGGAAATACAGGAGTGATTGTTATAACGATGTGGATGAATCGGAATTTGCTTGCTTGGAGAAGGAACGGATCAATGTGAGTTTGTGAATGCTGATATGAGATTTTCGGATTTACATCGTTTTAAAAGTTGAAGAGAAAAATCAGAGTTCAGTAAATAGTGAACCGATCGCAAATATGAGAACGCGGTCATCAAATCCTGTCTAACGTCCAAGGAGTGTTCGTTTCGACCTATTACCGAAACTATGTTATCGTGATACTTGTGGAACAGAAGGATAACTTTCATAAGAGGCAGTAGGATGCGATCAAGCAAAAAACAGACCACAGGTGCTGTTCGTACAAATGCCTGCTGAGTTTTTTCGTTTAGTATTTTCGGGTGGCTTTGCCTGACACGATGAAGCGCTTGAATCGATCGTTTTAAGTGGCTATAACCGGATTCCGTTTGCGTGCGCGTCGAATTTTTGTGTGTCATTTTACAGCATGAGCAATCTCAAATTATAATGCGGATTTCAATCATGTTTATCTCTTGAAGTGCAGCTATCATGTCTGTTCGACTCAATTTTGATGTAAAAATTTCAAAATTCTACATTTCTCCTTCGTGTTACGGAGTTTAACTCATTCTTATTCCTCCACAGAAACGCATGACTTCGTTGAACGAAACCGGAGAGCTCACCAATGCCGTCAGACGATAAGGAAAGACTTTTCGGCTGAAGAAGCTGAATCCATCTGAGCGTTTTAACTTGCTGTGATGAAATTGATTCCGGCAGCTAATTTTTTAATGGGATGAACGGTTTGAGGAAACGGGAATGATAGGCTCGTATAGAAAGCTTGTGAATGTTCGTTGAAACGACAATACTGTCATACGACTTTTGGCACAAGTGATATACAAGATTTCAAGTTTAAACGATCCATTTGTGGCCCAAATACACGTTTCGATGGATCCATGGAAGAAATCTCGAACCCACTTACTGAGACCATCCGTGGGTCACATCCTTCTCATCAAGCCTTTCCTGCTTCAGTATATGAAGGTAACACCAAAAATCTTTTTGGGTACACCATATTTTTCGAAAAAACTGGCTTTTCTCAAGATGCTCAAGCTTTTGGTGAAAATCCAAGCTTCCAGAGTTAATTGAGTCACGTTTTGTGAATGTCCAATTTTATACTGTAGTTATATTTGTATTTGACCAATTGACCGGGAATAAAGACAGCCAAAGCATTCCACAGCGGAATTGTCACGAAGGATCTATTTTCTTCCTCAATAGGCTTCATAAATAGTGCTCCAGCAAAATTAGACATTGTTCTTGGACTGTTTTTAAAGTATCTGGGAAACAAGCTCTACTTCAAAGGATTTTAAAAGTCGTTTCAGAAAAACCTTTCCCAATCAGCCCATCAATAGTACATTAGAAGTGCTGTATATTGCAAAATTTTGGTGGTGAGGGAATAACTTGAAAATTTTGCGAATACAGTACGGTACGCACTCCTTTAATCACCAATTTGGTATCTCCACAAGACTTGTTGATGGTCTTCAGCCATGAGGCTGAAGAGAAATCACTTGAGAGTACAGTATATTCAATGAAGTGTTGTCCCATGTCTTAGTTTAGAAAATATATATGTAATGTACTGTATTACGTAAGACCATCTCAATCTGCATGCCACCAATTTTCTTGAAGATGACCAAATCATTGACAAGTGAACTTAACAGAAAAATGCTTACAGAGTCAGGATTTCTACCCTTCTAAAAATTCCAAACAGAGCAGGCACCCAATTAAAATTCAAAAATTATGCATTTCAAAATTGAAATTGATTATTTCGGGATGCAGTCAAATCTGAGATCAAATCGAAAACTTAAAAGCCACACATCATGCAGTTTTCAAATAAGTTACTAATTAAATTTTATCAGCCGTTTTAATTCACTGAAACACAGCTAAGTGGACTCTTCCAGCAGCAATCTTATCTACAATTATTTCCTCTGCATAAAATATGTTTCTTCTGTTCCATAGGGTTCCTTTGCAGTGTCACAGAGGGGTTCTCTATAATGAATTCGGTTGAAGTCAAAAGAGTCTGAAGTATTTTCAAAAGCCTTCTTCAGAGGCAATACACCTGGAGCTCTTGCTACAACAATCTTGTCTACAACTATTTTCTCAACAACAAAAAATATTTTTCTTCCATTAGAGGTCTGGACCCTTTGCAAAGGGGTTTTCTACAACAAATTGTTTTCTGGCCCTGCACCTGAATTTAGTTATACAGAGTGTCCCCTGTGCCAACAATGTGCTCATCCAGAATTGGTACACTTCCTGAACAGATGCATTTCATAGATACATATTTTTTTTGTTCTCTCAAATTTAACAAGAAGACATGTAGAAATAATGAAAGGAACAAGAACCAACGGGAGAAAGACTTTATTCCATTCTGCAACAACTTTCCTGTACTCATTCTGAAAACCCATTTCCCCGGAAATATCCGTACTGTAGAGTCTTCTCGACTCCACAAAAATCCCGATAACACAGGCAATATAATCAATAAGAAAAACTAGGATTCCACCATCTTGGATTAGACAACATAACGTGTAAGTACAGTATACAGTGACACACCTTCAGCAATGCCAACCGCCGCTTACAGATTTCAACAGGAGTTTTTTTTTCCTTATTTTTTCTTAAAAAGAAGCTCTTCCTCTAGAACAAATATTGCACCGAAAACAACTCCGAATTTTTTTCTTCTAATCGAGAAAAAAAAAAGAAACGAAATAACAGCACACGACCCTGACTAGAGACGTCTATATGAGAGAGATAACTCATGGCATTCTTTCGATCCGCGAAGATTTGCATCTCATCTACATGGATACAGAGAAATTGATGAATATTCCGCTCAAATAAACGCCGAAGTCATCTTTGTGCGATAACATTTTTAAACCCGCTCCCTGAGTTGCCGAAGGAAAGGTTTGTACAAAACAAGGGTTCCTCAAGGGTGCCTCAATATGTGACTGGAATCCTCAATATGTGACTGGAAATGAATGAAATCTAATTTTTCAATTTCATCAAGGAATTGCTCTTGATTTGAAACTTTTATCCCCTTCCTGTCGATTTGTTTGTAAATCAACTCATGTGCACGACAATATCTCCTTACAATGAGGATAAGGATCGATTTTGATTGACTTACAGCCAATAAGTTTATAAATTTCCGCGAACAGGGTGACAAATTTGAAGAAAAATTAAAAAAATCATTGTAGCAGGAAAATCGGCACTTCAAGACGAAGTTCAAGGAAATTTTGGGGGGAAAATACTGCCAAGCTATCTTATTGAATGAAGATGCATTTTTTAAAAGTTCTTCGTGATGCATAGAAGTTGGAACAGATCAACATCGAGGGTTCGATCAATAATTTTCAACATTCCCTCATTTTCCGGACTTCATAAAACATTGGACATTATCCTTATTGCTCAACAATGAATCACCGAAACAAAATGAACACTTGCGTTCTCGACTTCGAACGATAAAAATTTTAAAGATGAAATACAGGACTGTTGAAAAACCCCCAATGCGTTAAAAAAAAGACAGCACCCATCAAAAAAATTGCACTGACATTCGATGAACTGATTTTCGCATGAGGCAAAAATTCCTTCTCGGAAAACATGAACCAAACAAAACATATAGAATATCAAAAAACGTTGGCTAATATAAACGAAATTTAATTTGTGCACATGAAAAAAAAATTTCAGCGACTCATTTTTGCTCAACAAGTGCACGACTTTTCACTTTCATTCGAACAATTTTGATATTTCGAATGTTTCGTAGATGTTGCCGGCATCGCTGTAACATAACTACACTTCCTGTATATAAGCCCCCTACACATATCAACCTATACTCCTAAACTTTGGTGCAATGCCAGCGACACCTACGTAACGTCAACGAAAACCTGAATGTCGGGTGTGTTCATATACACAGCGGCTGTTGCATCCGAGTATACAGTACCATTTTTTGTCCCTCTTCTCAGGTTTTTACCTATACAGTACTCATCGTTGCGTCGTCGTCATTATTCCTTCTGGATTTCACTACAAACAACTCGCGTACTGGTTCACCACGTCTCGTTCGATGCTCACCCTTCTCCTGTCAAACGCCCTGCAAAAACACGGAAAACATGGCCATAAAATCCAGCAAAAAAAGGAAGAAAAAATGAAAATAAACTAATAGGCATTCACTAAAACACTCTCATCACAAGATTGAAAAAAAAA